CCTACCACGGGTTATTTACTCTCGTCCATTCAAATTATACTCAGCTTATATATATATTCTTGTGAATAACCTTACCTAAACTCTCGTGTAAGATAAAAACCGAAACGTCATGGGGTTTTTGTTTGTCTGTTTTTACTTGTGCGACCGTGTTGAATAACTATATTTTCAAAGGACGTTAGCTTCTTAGCAAATATAAACCTAGGTTTGGGGATGGGCAGAGCAATTCTAAAAACAAATCGTTAAATCCCTTATTTACAGACGAGAACTTCTCGAACCTGCACAGAAATGAAAATTTGAACGTTTTTCCTAATTTTTCTTTGCGAATTACTGTATTAAGTATCTTTGATGTGTTAGCAAAACTTTTAAGTTGTTTCCTGGCTTTCCGAGTGAATTAAGACAATATTTGAGATTATTATTAAAGTTTTTTGTATTATATACACACACCATTTGGTTGATTTTTCTGGTTATTTTATATCATTAAAACTTTGAAGAAAATCTTTCTTGTTACAGTTTGTCGTTTTTCTTTATTATCCTCCTTCCTTTATAGATGCCCCCCAGTGGCACAGCAGTATGTTTGCGGACTTACAATGCTAGAAACCGGGTTTCGATACCCCTGGTGGGCACAGCACAGATCGCCCATCGTGTAACTTTGTGCTTAATTACAAATACACAAGCATAATAATAGCCCCCAGTGGCACAGCGGTACGTCTACGGACTTACAATGCTAGAAACCGGGTTTCGATACCCGTGGTGGGCACAGCACAGATCGCCCATCGTGTAACTTTGTGCTTAATTACAAAAAAAAATCCTCATAGCTTTTCAATATATGACTTGACGTTAAACGTAGAATATATTTGGGATGGTCTAAGTTTAATCATGATACAATCCATAGTCAAATATGGCGACTCGAAATCAACGTACCACAACAGTAACTATAAACTTAGTCATGATATAATCCATAACCAAGATGACGAGTCTAAAGTAGTCCACAGTGCAGCCATTTTATCTGAGCAGTAACCACAGATTTAATCATCGTACAATCCAAAATCCAGAAGACAACTCTAAAGTAGTCCGCAGTGCAGCCATTTTATATGAGCAGAAACCATAAATCTAATCATGGTACAATCCATAACCAAGATGATGATTCTAAACTCGGCTGTTATACAATCCGTGGAGCAAATTTCAATAACATTTATTAATTTAGTCTCATAAACCAGGTTTTCTTGGTTTATTTCTTCTAACAACGTGTGATTAATTCATATTTTTATTTTTGTATTTAAAGAAAAACTACTAGTGCTATCTACTGGCGTCAATAATTTTGAACTACTGACGAGAGGAAAGGCATCCAGTCAGCAGAACTCCACCGCCCACGTGGAGGGATTAACTGTCACTGTTATAACGCATTCAAAGTTTAAAGTGAGAACTATTTTGTAGTATCACACGGATTCGAACCCGGCTCACCAGCTCAAAAATCCAAAGCCATCCACAGAGTCAACCTAAAGAATGAGTGAGGCAGTTTTCAAAATTGATATTATTTGCAGTAAAAGGCAACATTAATATACTTAAAATCAAACATACAGAGTGTCATTAGGAGCTGCAGCTATTTATACACAAAAATATGCCCTTATAAGTTCACGTTTAAAGCAGAATTTGTTTGTTTCTTAAATCTGTACTTTCTACTGGCTTTTTTTGGGGGGAGGGGATATTACTCAAATATGGTCGAAAAAAATGTATGTTTGTGGAAATTCTAGACCACTATTTCAGAGACCTTCTTCTTAAGAAAGCCCGGCATGGCCAGGTGATTAGGGCGCTCGACTCGCAATCTGAGAGTCGCGGGTTCGAATCCACGTCCCATCAAATATTCTTACCATTTCAACCGTGAAGGGCGTTATAATGTTACGGTCAATCCCACTATTCGTTAGTAAAAGAGTAACCCTAGAGTTGGCGGTTGGTGGTGATGACTAGCTGCCTTCCCTAGTCTTACACTGTTAAATAAGGGAGGGCTAGCGCAGATAACCCTAGTGTAGCTTTGCGCGAAATTCAAAACAAACAAACAATCTTCTTAAGAATATTTGTTTAATTAATAACATTTTAGATTATGTTCACTTTATTCCATCGTTGATTTGGTTTGTTTGTTTTAAAGCACATAACTGGCTACTTAATGGGCTATTTGTGCTCTGCCCACCGCAGGTAATGAAGCCAGACTTTTATCGTTATAAGCCCTCTGATTTATCGTTAAGCCACCGAGTATTCTTCTATGTTGGGATTCGGACCATGTTTTGGACCAGGGAGGGTCAAGTTTAGCAGTGACCTTTTCCTACCTCTCGGGAATTGTTATTTTGTTTGCAGTTACTGAATCCTAGGTAATAACCCTTCTTACATTGTTGCATTACTCACAGTATGTTACATTTTGTACGCTTTATTTGGGGTCAAAATAAAATTGTTCAACTTTTTGTATTGCAGCTGATTAATGTCAAACAATGCCCCCTAGTGGCACAGTGGTATGTCTGCGGACATACAACGCTAAAAACCGGAGTTTTGATACCCGTGGTGGGCAGAGCGCAGATAGCCCTTTGTGTAGCTTTGTGCTTAACTACAAACAACAACAATGTCAAACAATTCTGGTCACGAGTCTTAGACATTTGTACTTATTTTCTATTTATTTTCGTGAACTAAATTATTTATTATATGGTTAACCTCTTTGTAAATAAACGCCGATTAACACTTTAGCAAAACAATAAAATTAGAATTACATGTAACTATCTACAAATTTATAAAGAGGGCGCTATAATCCAAACGTCAATGCATAAAGGAGCAGACCAATGACGATCAGCTCATTACTTCTGACGTAAGGTGATATTCATCTGTTCACGTCGGCTTATATCAAGGCTTTAACTATTTTGTTTGGTAAAAGGTCCCAGAGAAAAACGTCATTATTAGTTAATTTAAGCTAAAAACTTTTAAGCATTTTCGTGGTGGTTTGTTATTGTCAACTTTATATGATCTAACGAAGACGATGCTCTCCTCCGTGGTGCTATTATTGATTGTGTCGGCATGGCGTCTCATCTCATCTCGAGCCCAGTCGATTCTGTGCCCGTCTCCTTACCTTATAGCACCTTGCAGCTGTGAAAAGTCGATTCTTTTCACTGTTGTCAGTTGTACTGGTCTATCGGACATTTCCGATGTCCAGAAATCACTGGGGAACCATTTTTCTCAACCGATTCCACGGTTGTACATAACAAACTGTAATATCTCAGAGTTTTCTTCAGCATCATTTACCAATGTGTCTGTAATTCGATTAACGTTGAGTAATAGCAATATTCGGTTATTATCTGACGACGTCTTTGATGGTTTGGAGAATCTCGGATTTTTGACAATAGAGGACAATCCGCTAAAAAGAATTCCCACCGAGGCTTTAACCAAGCTTTCAAACCTGTCAACTTTAAGCCTTGCATACGATCAGATCACCAACGTGAAGTCAGGATCTTTAAGTGGCTTTAAACGTCTTCGATACCTTACATTAACAGGAAATCATATATCTAAAATCGAAAAGGGTTCTTTTCCAGAGAGCCTCAACATGCTATCTCTATCTTATAATCAGCTAATGACTCTGAACGGTTCACTTCAGAATTTAACCAATCTTCGATGGCTTTTATTGTGCAACAACGGTCTTATAAGCTTGGACGGAGAACTTGACAATCTCGAGAGTCTAAAAGGCCTCGACATCTCTAGAAATTTAATTTCGAAATTGGGACAGAGTTTGTCTAAACTTTCAGAGTTGCGCCGCCTCAATCTGGCGTTTAATAACATCCATAACTTAGGAACTTCACTGAAATCCCTGAAAAACCTGGAGTACATTGACTTATCTTTCAACTACCTTGCACAATTCGATGGTCACGAATTTTCCACGTTAACAAAAGCTAAACGGTTGGATTTGTCAGGAAACAGGTTGATGTCTTTAGGTTCGTCACTGAGTCACATGGAACACTTAACATATCTCAACCTGTCAATGAATCACTTGCACACGATGAAACATTCCGAAGTAATGTGGCTGAAAAATCTGAAGGAGCTTGACTTGTCCCACAACGTGCTGAACACCTTCAATTTGACCGAACACGATCTGGCCAACGTTAAACTTCTAAAGTTGCGCGACAACCACTTGATTTGTTACCCAGAAGTTTTAAAACGTGTGTCAAACTTGATTGAATTGGATCTTGCGTTTAACTTTTTGACTTCTCTTTCAGAACACGAGTTCGACGGGAACCAACAACTTCACAAAGTTAGGTTGGAGGGTAGGTATTATTTTCCTAGTTATATTGTGACAACAATGAAAAACAAACATACACAGCTCTGTTGCTTATCTCTGAATGTCGTCACTTTAAGAAACAAACATACACAGCTCTGTTGCTTATCTCTGAATGTCGTCACTTTAAGAAACAAACATACACAGCTCTGTTGCTTATCTCTGAATGTCGCCACTTTAAGAAACAAACATACACAGCTCTGTTGCTTATCTCTGAATGTCGTCACTTTAAGAAACAGAAGCTCTAAAGTACAAGTAGAATGTATTCTAGAACGGAAAGTACAGGAAACGAAAATCAGGAGATATGTATTTCCATAACCGTCATTTTAAATGTAAATCAATTAAAGTTTTTTTTTGATCAGTAAATGATGGAATTAATTATTTTTTTGCAGTAAAGCAAGATTTATATAGATTTTTAATTTTAGGTTTTAACAGTGGATATAATATTTGCTCTTTCTATGTGTGTGTGTGTTAAGATATATACAATAGTAAGCATACATGCTCACCAAGAAACAGATAATACAAACAATACATTTTAGTTAGTTTAGTAAAATAAGTTTAAAAGGGAGACTGGTTTTTTCTAACACTTTCTATGTGTGTGTTTGTTAAGATATGTACAATAGTAAGCACACATGCTCACCAAGAAACAGATAATATAAACAATACCTTTTAGTTAGTTTAGTAAAATAAAGTTGATAGTGAATGGTTATCATCTCAGAATTCGTCCACATCTTTTAAATACTACCTTTTTTAAAGATTGGTTTTTCAACTGTAAATGACATCTCATCAAACCTTGGTGTTTTGTTTTTGTTTGGGAGGAGGGGGCCTGTCCATAGACTTTAGTTTATTTATAAAGTGTGAACTATTCCCTGTACATGTATGATATACTAAACTTATAACTTTCTTTACACAGGATAGTAAACCTCAATGGCCTCAGTATAACATATTATTTTCTCTACTATGTAAAATATATCAGTGAGAAATGAGAACATGTATAACATATTATTTCTCTGTTACGTAAAATATATTAGCAAGAAATGAGAACATGTATAACATATTTAGTCTCAAAGTGGGTTCCTCGTCATCGAATATTATTTCTCTGTTATGTAAACTATATTAGCGAGAAATGAGAACATGTATAACATATTATTTTCTCTACTATGTAAAATATATTAACAAGAAATGAGAACATGTATAACAAATTATTTTCTCTACTATGTAAAATAAATAAGCAAGAAATGAGAACATGTATAACAAATTATTTTCTCTACTGTGTAAAATATATTAGCAAGAAATGAGAACATGTATAACAAATTATTTTCTCTACTGTGTAAAATATATTAGCGAGAAATGAGAACATGTATAACATATTATTTTCTCTACTATGTAAAATAGATAAGCAAGAAATGTGGATATGTAAAACACGTATTTTGTCTATTACATCGGTTTAAATACTGTTTTGTTTTACCTACTGCATAAATTAAAGCTAACTATTTAATATTTTGATTTTAATATTAAATTTATGAAAATGTTTTATCTTTCAGGCAATCCCTGGATTTGTGATACCCATCTGCTTCATTTGCTGAGCATGCTAAAAACCCGCCTAGTTGAAGTCAGTGGAAAACCACATTGTCTTCAGGGAAAAGCAGAATAAAACTCGAAATACGATAATAATTCATCTAGTCCATAGCTCCAAGACCCTGACCAGTATTATAAAGTAATACCTTTACAACTTGGTTGTAATAACTCATTCTACGAATTGCTTAGGTTCTAACAGGCTAAATAGAACGTTCCTTAGATTTGTACACGATCTATTTCGTGGTTTGTAATGGAAAGTACAATTCTCTCTCTGTCACTTACAACCATGTCTCGTAGTAACTAATGCAATACTTAAAATATTTATGTTTTTTTTTATGTTGTATATAATTTAATCAATTTTAGGTTAATGGTTGTAGTGATTATCTTAATATGCCATAAATAAGTGGTTCCCAAACTGAGGGCCACAGGAAAATATTGGGGGGAGGGGCGTAGCATATACACAAAATATACAATACTTTTAAAGTTCTCAGTATTTATATTTTAGTGTGCCCTAGATCAGGGGTTCTCAGACTAGGGGCCGCAGAAAAGGTTGTTTTGTCTTTTTTTGGGGGGGGGGCATTACAAATGCACAATTCTGTTAAGGTACTCAGTATGTATAAATTAATTGGGTAAAGGGCCTCAGTCAGTATGCGGAATGTTCTGGGCGTAGGGGCTTTGTGCTGAGAAAGCTTGGGAACTACTAATTAGATGTTAAAAGTTGTTGCTCTGTTTGTTTTTTGTTTGTTTGTTTTTGCGAATAAAAACCTTAACTAAGTTGAAATTGACACTAACCTGTCTAAGGTAAACAAACTTGATAATGGCACAAAGACTGATTTATTTCTTGTTTAAAGCAAGAGAGATTTTTATACCGTATTTCCCGATGTATATGACGATCTCAAGTATAAGACGACCCTGGAATTTTTTTAGGAAGTTAAGCGTATTTCTTTGAGGTTCGGTATATAGAGTGACCTCTATTGTCAAGCAAGTCTAGGGTGTTAATTTTGTAAAGAAATTCTTAGAAGTTATTTCTAAACTTTTCTAACCTGCGCTTTAGGTAATCAGTACAACCACGAGTGTGTTTTTTTATGCTCTTCAAACGCCACAGACAGCTAAATGAGACGTAACTTAAGTCACAAACGTGTAACAAATAACTTTACAAAGTTTTCATCACAGTTGAACTCCTTTTCTGCTACAAAAAATACCAAAACTTAAGATATAGTGATCTAATATAAAAACATGTTTACAAAATTAGTGTACGTTAAAGAAGCTTTTTTGATATAATATTGGCAATATTTTGGTATGACGGATTTCAAGTCAAAAAATGTCTTGATTAATTGTAACTAGCATGTTAGATAAATAACTTCTAGTTATGAAGAATCTAGACACTTGATACAATTACTGATATGTTATTGTAACACAGTAGGTGGCACGATGTCAACACATTTATTCAAAAAACCCAAACAATAGTTAAAATAACGACATAGCTTTAATTAAATACGTTATTAACTGGACATTTCTTACTAGAACTTTATCTTTGAACCTGTGTATAAGACGAGGGGTAAAATCGGGCACTGTTTTAAGAATAAAAATTATCGTGTTATACACAGGCAAGTACGATATTTAACTTTTTAGTAATGTGTATGTGAGAAAGATTACATAAAACTTTATACTGACAACCTATATTATTTATAGATTAGATACATATACATATATAGATATATACATCATGTATAGTTTTGTTTGCTTGCTTTTAAGCATAAAATTATACAATAAGCTATTTGCGCTGTGCCCATAGCGTGTATCAAACCCCCAATTTTTAGCAACATAAAACCTCAAGCTTACTGATGAGCTACGGGAAAAAAACCCAGTAAAAATCAAATATTTAAGCTTAAGTAAACATGCATTCTTTTGTTTTCAGTTTTATTGTATGGATGTATTAGCCAATTTCCCTGGTTACTAAGCCTAAATTGTCATATTTTTAGTTATATATATAGCAAGGCTTTTTTAGGATTTGATGAAACTTTAACGACGTAATATTTCAGGGTTCTGGATTTAAAATAATTAGTGATATTTGTCTTAGTGGTCGTACAGCTTCTCACATTTTGGGTCAAACTTGACCATTTTTGGAACAACAAAAAATCCTTTTATGCGAATATATATATATATAATATTACCAATACCAATTATTACTAAAATGAAAACGGTCGAAGTCTTCACGTATCATTTGATTCGGTTTATTTTTGTTAATAAAGTTTGGAGTTTCTAACCAGTATCCTGGCAAAATACATTGGTCAAAACATTAATCACGTGATAAACTCCGGATTTGATCACGTGATTACCTCTTCTCACCAAAACTGGATTCATACACGAAATGCACAAGTCTTCCTTAGAACACAGTTGGGGGAAAAAAATTAACACAAATTTTTCAGATAGGAATATCTTGCTCAAATGGTTAAAACGTTATTTGTAATCAGAATAGGCGCAAGTCTATACTATAAATCTCTGTCGTGAACTGAATAGTCGACGTGTTTAGGAAAGTGGAAAAAAAATATTGTATCCAAAGTAACCTTCACGTATATAATTAAATATACTTAATAATTAATACTTTTTTGTGTTTTATTGTTTTAAAAGTTTGAAGCAGTTTAGACACCGAATGCTCACTTTAATTGTAAGCTTGAATTTTTTCATGTAAACTGGGTAACATTTTTAAACCAGTATTATAATGACATAAATCAAGCTGGTAGGTACTCGTTAAAACAATGGATAAAGTTATCAATGACAGCATTGTAGCAGATATATGGTAACGATATGAGTAACTAAGGCGATCGCAGCGGTTTGTTAACTTTAGCCATATACTAGGTAAGTTTTTAAATAGGTTAAGTGTATACGTGGTAAGGCTTATAGTGACTGAGGCGACAACAACAACGGTTTAGTTAACTTTTCGGCCAAATACAAGTTTTTGTGGAGGATCTATCTTTTTTTTCGCATGCTTTCCCCAGTTTTTAATATATAAGATTATAGAATATTAGCAATCATGCCATTATTATTATTATTCTTTTAGCTTTACTAAAATATCAAAAGTATTATTGAATGGTTACATTTAGCTTTATAGTATTATATATATAACATGTTGTTTTACTTAGTTTCTTAACTTACATAAAGCCATATAGCGTGAAGAATGGACGCTATATAAACAGAATTCTGTTTTACATATACACGTTTTAACTCGTACTTGTTGCATGTTGGTCGAGGATAATGTTGCTTTGTTGTCAGATATCGTGGATTGAGTGTACCCTCGTACAAACGGGTTGATAATCTAAGTACGAATATTGCTTTGTTGTCGGATATGGTGGATTGAGTGTACCCTCGTACAAACGGGTTGATAATCTAAGTACGAATATTGCTTTGTTGTCGGATATGGTGGATTGAGTGTACCCTCGTACAAACGGGTTGATAATCTAAATACGAATATTGACGATATCCGACAACAAAGCATTCGTATTTAGATTATCAACCCGTTTGTACGAGGGTACACTCAATCCTTACTTTGGAGTCAGATATCGTGGATTGAGTGTACCCTCGTACAAACGGGTTGATAATCTAAATACGAATGTTGCTTACGAGTTAGATATCGTGAATTTGGTGTTCCAACATACAAACGGGTTGATGTTCTAAGACAAATGTCGCTTTGAGGTCGGATATAGTGGTTACGGTGTTTGTTGTAGAATTCTCAAGCTTTTGCATCACAGTGTATTTTAGATAAAGTTTTCCAGAACATTTCATCAGACAAGGTTGAAACACAGTAAGAAATGTGTTAAAATCTATGCTAATAAATACGACCTTGATTGTATTATACGTTTCAACCCATTTAGATGTGAGAAAAGTTCTTCTCGTGTCTTGCTGCTTGCATGAGTGCTTATCTTTGTTTAATAGGATAACATAAACAATAAGAGACGTATACTACTTTAAACTTTTATGTGTGTGTGTGTGTGCTATAGGCTTCATATATATATATATATTATATTTGTACACGTACCCTAATACAATTGTGTAATTTTAGAAAATTCGTGTTTTAAAGTATATTGAACTGTGGGATGTTGTGTATATTCATGTTGACGTGTAAGTAAAATCAATGTTTCTGTATAACATTAAACATGATTTCCATTTCAAAGTGTTTATTCACAATCACTTGTTTATCGCTTAATCCGTTTTTACATAATTTGCCATGAAACATTTGGCATCACTAGCGTTGTGCTAAGTTGTTTGCTATAAACTCCATTTAAACGCAGAACCGGGCTTGATCTAGTGGTCGGCATGCTGAGCCGCGGATCGAACGACTCGAGGTTCGAGACGCGATATTCAACTGAACATACCTTTCCACTTTCAGCAATGGCGGTGTTATAACTGTGACAGTCAATCTCGCTATGCGAGTTAACAATAGCCGCGTGGGTGTCATGTGCTGTTTATTGGTTACGCTCCTCTCGGTCAACAGCTCTTCTGAGTTAGAGATGACTATTTCTAAATCTTCGGAGTGCCGTTTAGACCATGTTGAAAATACCAATACTACATGCGGTAAATTCTACCAAACTAATATTTATATACACTTTACATAGGCTCTTTCGTAAGAAATGGGATGTACGTTATGATAAACAGCTATTTCACCTGTCGTCAGAGGACGTTGACGACTTATTTAGTGTTCAGTTTTTTTTTTTATGTTTGTAGTTATGCACAAAGCTACACAATGGGCATTCTGTGCTCTGCCAACCACTGGTATCGAAACCCGGTTTCTAGCGTTGTAAGGTCCGCAGACATACCGCTGTGCCACTGGGGGGGGGGGCTCAGTTTTTGTTGTTTTTTAAATAATAAAGATTAAAGATACTCGAAGTATATCATTACATTTGATAAAGTGTTTGGAGCCACCAAGAGGTAAACTCTGTCGTAATTATTGACAACCGTCTAGTCAATTTCTTGAACTCTTATCCATCTGAAACATACAGCATGAACACTAAAAACTGGTGGTTATTGTTTACATGAATTGCATTGTTCATATAATTTACTCAATATCTTAGAATTTAAATCAGCTCGTTTGTTGTTAAGCGCAAATGTGTCGCGATTTTTAACGTAATAAGTCCTCTTGATTTACCGCTGGACCACCGTATATTTCAGCGAAAAGCTATTATTCGCCTCAGAGAATCAAACCCGGATTTTAGCGCTTTAAGTTCGTAAACTTACAACTGATTCACTGGAGGGGGGGGGGGGAATAACAATGTGTAACATGACAATAATAGACCAAGTATAATTACATATGAAAAGTTTTAAATGTAATTTTTTTCAAATAATGTCATCACCACTAGAGGGAGCCTACAACAAAAAATTAATAAACAATTATTAACATAACTTCTTTATCAAAATATTAAATATTTATAAATTTATGATAATTATTGAAATATACAGATGTGTGGAAATATATATATGTAACTATTAATTATCAAATAATTCATCTAATTGTTAATTGTAAGAATAACCTTAAAAGGCATACTGTACTTCTTTCCCATGTTGTAATCTTTATAAAGTCCGGGGTAATAAATTTCAAATCTTAAATCTCACTACATAACCAATAAAAACAATCAAAGTTATTTATTACGAATTTTCTTATAATGAAAGACGATTAGTAACTATCAGAAAATAAGAAGAAAAAATTCGTTGGTCAATTTTTTTTTTACAAATCTGAACTTAGATGTTGCCCAATTCGACTGTTATCAACATACTGCAGTGACTGGAAACGCTAATATGATGTATAAGTAAATATGTATATGAATTGTACAACGAATACCACGAGAAAGCAAATTGTAGTTAATTTTGAAATATATAATCAGTGACGTTCAATGAATTTGGGTGGTTTTCAGAACCAGTTTGAGGAAGTTCTTGCCAGTCAGTTTGATGACGCCACAAGTGTTAAGCGCTCACCCTTAGGATCGCGTCCATCTAAAGATAAAGCTATGATGAAGAAGAAATAATAAACTAACAGTCATCTTATGAACAGAGCTACGTCAGCACGTTTCTTTAAAGGTCACCTTAAGAGCAAAAGCACGTCAATGCGCCTCTTCAAAGGTCACCTTGAGAGCAAAGGCACATCAACACACCTCCTAGTCGTCATACAAAGTCAGCTTGTTATTGGTCGATTTTATTGGGGCCCACATATTGTATCATATAGAATAATTTTATGCTATAACACTCAGTGTAAAGAATTGGCCCAAAATATTGGATGAAATCGCTCATTTTATGTATAAAAAACATAGGAAATCCCAGGAAAGATGAGAGGAATTAATTACAGTACTGATGGTATTTTTGCGTATATTTGTTTTTGTTTGATTCGTGTGCTATTAGACACTCTATAACCATCAAAGTCATGTGTAACTTGGTACTGTATAAATAAATAATTTAAAACAATGTGTTTGAAAAGACGATTGGGTCCGACCTGGTGGTAATTCGAAGAGTTAAAGTGCATATACCTCTTCCTCAATAAATTTAACGATTTCATCAAGGCTTATATTTGGAATAAAAGAAGAATCTGCTTTTGATCAAAAAATAAATAGGATGGAAAATATTCCAGAGGTGTAGGAGGCAAATTAAAATAGGGGAGAACCGAGCGAAGCGAGGGAATGTGCATCACAGGTGCACCCATAACGACTCGGGATCCAGGGCTCGTCTTAAAACTTGGAAGCTCTTGGGTTCTAGATTAAATGTCATTAATTTTCCTGCTTTTATCGAAAGCAATTTTCTTTATTTTGATGCATTTTTACTAGGACTGATTGAAAAGTGGGAGAGAGAGGTGAATCGACCTCGCTTCCTAAGCTATTGTATGCTCATTATCCAAGTCCATAAAGGGGGTAGGGCGAACTACTTAAATATACTAGGCTTAGAAAAAAGGCTTAATTACATAACCAAATACTCCAGTGCTTGTCTATTTGCAACAAGAACCAGCCTTTCTTACAAACGATGGAAACTCGCATGAAACTGAGATCATGTCTCAACTCACACCATCTGTTGAGAAAAATATAAAACTTGGCTTTATTCCAAAAGAAATAAAACAATATACTTTTAACTTTCATTAATTAGGTTACTGATTAATACGGAATAAATAAACAAATATTCTCCTCAAGACTCTCTCACTTAAACATCTTTTTTTATATTCCAATCAGTTTGTGGCTTCAATGTCAAGAAAAATATGCCAAGATTAAATTTCACATGACGCTGTTTTGTGGTATGAATACGTGTCTGCCAGTAAGCGTTCTATTTTATTCGTGCAACAATACGATACTTGGATATTATTAACATATATAACTATCTATTTGCATATTGAGAATGCGTTTCTATCCGCTCTACTTTTCATTTCTAGACAACTTATTTACCGAACGAACTTTTAAAATTTTAGTTCTTTCAGTCCTTCTTTTTTTTTACTATTACAATTAGTACGGCCTTTGAAACATCTTGACATAGTTAGTAAATATTACAAGGAGTACGGCCTTTGAAACATCTTAACAAAACTAGTAATTATTACCAGGAGTACGGACTTTGAAACATCTTGACATAGCTAGTAATTATTACAAGGAGTACGGCCTTTGAAACATCTTGACATAGCTAGTAATTATTACAAAGAGTACGGCCTTTGAATCATCTTGACATAGCTAGTAATAATACAAGGAGTACGGCCTTTGAAACATCTTGACATAGCTAGTAATTATTACAAGGAGTACGGCCTTTGAAACATCTTGACATAGCTAGTAATTGTTACAAGGTATACGGCCTTTGAAACATCTTAATATAGCTAGTATTATACAATGAGTACGCCTTTTAAACTTCTTGACATAGACTAG